CTTACTCACCTCCTCTGTGCTCTCCATACTGCCCTGTTGGACCTATCAATAAAACCCTTTTGTTACCCCTTCGAACTGTACTGAGTCTGCCTTTGAGTCCTCAAGTTTTTGCATTATGACAGAACGATCTGGCCAAGGCATGGACTCAGTGGACTTGGACTCATATCCATCTGGGGTACACAAAGCCCTCGCCAGTCAGGGACATCTCCTTGGACAACATGAGCAATTAATCAGGACACTCGCTGAGAACAGCCAAGCCATGGTAAACCAAATAGCACAATTAACTGCACAAGTTTCCTCACTAACTGCACAATTTTCCCCACCTGCTCTTCCAGCTGCCTTCCCCCCCACCTGCTCCGGTGGCTGCCTCTCATCACCAGGACCACCCAGCACCTCCTCCACTCCAAGAATCGTATGTCCCCGACCCAGAACCCTTTTCCGGAGAACTGGATAAGTGCCGAGGCTTTCTCCTACAATGCGCTATGGTTTTTATCCAATGGCCACGGACTCTTCCTTCAGACCAGTCCAAGGTACTTTATGTTTTGGGATTATTAAAGGGGCGAGCCCTGGCTTGGGCTGAGGCAATTAATTCTAGTCGAGCCATCTCATCTTACACTTTTGTTGAGTTCGAAGCCTTAATGAAACAAGTCTTTGACCATCCAGACTATCAAGGTAATGCTGCGAGACGATTGTTACAGTTACGCCAGGAGAATAGGAGTGTTGCAGACTTCTCTGTTGAGTTTCGCACACTGGCTGCTGACTCAGGATGGAACAATGAGGCATTACTCGGGGTATTTATAAATGCACTTAATGAACACTTAAAGGATGAACTGGCAACAAGAGATGTACCCTCTGACTTTAACGCCCTTGTTTCACTGGCTATTAGGATTGACAACCGCTTTCACGAGCGACTCAGGGAGAGGTCAGGCCGCTCACGTCCTCCCAGTTACACTCACCTTTCCTCATCACATCCCACGAAAGCCGAGGGCAGCCCTGAAGCAAACACCTTGGAGACCACTACATTGCCGCTATTGATGGCAGATTGCTGGCTACCCAGCGCACCAAACCGGTAGCCCTAGTAGTGTCTGGTAACCATAGAGAGGAGATCCAATTTCACCTCATTTCAGCCCCCCACTCACCACTGGTTCTTGGTTCCACCTGGTTGAAGCGCTATAACCCCCATATTGACTGGGCTGAAGGGAGGATTGTGAGTTGGAGTTCGTTTTGCCATTCAGCCTGCCTGCAATCAGCACTGCCGCCTGTGGTGGCTGCTGTGGCACCTTCTAGCCCTGAAAACCCTGATCTGTCCTCCATCCCTGTAGATTATCACGACCTGGGTATGGTGTTCAGCAAAGCCCTCTCATTACCACCACACCGACCCTACGATTGTGCCATAGACCTCCTTCCCGGGGCACCATTACCCACCAGCAGGCTGTACAACCTTTCTCGCCCTGAACGAGAGTCCATGGAAAGGTATATCCATGACTCACTAGCTGCAGGCATCATTAGGTCCTCTTCATCCCCTGTTGGCGCAGGATTCTTTTTTGTGGGCAAGAAGGATGGCTCTCTTCGTCCCTGCATTGACTATCGCGGCCTTAACAATATCACTGTTAAGAATAAATACCCGTTGCCACTGATTAACTCTGCCTTCGAACCCCTTCACGGAGCCACCATTTTCTCAAAACTAGATTTAAGAAACGCTTACCACCTTGTCCGTATAAGAGAAGGAGACGAATGGAAGACAGCATTCAACACCCCACTGGGGCATTATGAGTATTTAGTCATGCCCTTTGGCCTCACAAACGCTCCCGCTGTTTTTCAGGCCTTAGTGAATGACGTCCTTAGGGATTTCCTCAACCAGTTCGTCTTTGTCTAACTAGATGACATTCTGATATTTTCCAAGACCCATTCAGATCACATTTCTCATGTCCGTCAGGTTCTTCAGCAGCTGCTGGAGAACAGACTCTTTGTAAAGGCAGAGAAATGTGAGTTCCATGTTCCCTCTTTCAGTTTTCTGGGCTACATCCTTGAAGGAGGGCAGATGAGGGCGGACCCTGAAAAGATCAGGGCTGTGGCAGAGTGGCCCAGACCTACCACCCGCAAGGAGCTGGGTCTAGAAATACTAAACCAGATGCTCTCTCGTCAGTTCTCTGCTATCGATGTTCCACCAGGCCCTGAGACTATCATGCCACCCTCCTGCGTGGTTGCTCCTATCTCCTGGGAGATCAAGTCGGCAGTCAGGGAAGCACAGCAGGCCCAACCAGACCCAGTAAATGGACCACCAAATTGCTTATTTGTTCCTTACACTTTACGCCCTCAGGTTCTCCAATGGGTTCACGCCTCCTGTTTTGCCTGCCACCCGGGTGATAGTCGCACCCTGTCTCCACTGAGAAGACATTTTTGGTGGCCCTCCATGGAGGCAGACACCCATGATTACGTGGCAGCGTGTTCTGTTTGCGCCCGGGGAAAATCATCTCACCGCCCTCCTGAGGGACTGCTGCAGCCCTTGCCCATTCCAAGCTGGCCCTGGTCTCATATTGCTATGGACTTTGTGACTGGGTTACCAGTCTCACAAGGTAACTCCGTCATACTCACCATTTTCAACCGTTTTTCTAAAGCTGTTCATTTTGTGGCTCTCCTCCCTAAACTCCCTTCAGCTCGTGAAACTGCCGACTTAGTGGTGCAACATGTTGTCCGGCTGCATGGAATCCCACTAGACATTGTTTCAGACTGTGGACCACAGTTCATCTCCCAGGTATGGCAAGCTTTTTGTCGCACCTTAGGCGCTACAGCGAGTCTGTCATTTGGTTTTCACCCCCAAACCAATGGACAAACGGAGAGAGCCAATCAGGACCTGGAGGCCACATTAAGGTGTGTCGCTGCCACCAATCCCACCTCTTGGAGCTCACATCTCACCTGGGTTGAATATGCTCACAACTCCCTTACCAGCTCGGCTACAGGTATGTCTCCTTTTGAAGCCTCCCTCGGGTATCAGCCTGCCCTGTTCCCCTCACAGGAAGGTGAAATTGCTGTCCCAAACGCTTAATCGTTTTCTTGCTGAGAGTTAGAGGAGAAAATCTGTACAATTCTGGAGCATGCAGCCAGTTAGCTCACTGTATCTTAGCACAAAGACTGAAAACGGGGAAACAGCTAGCCTGTCTAAGGATACCTAAATCTGCCAGCAGCCCTTGAGCTTACGTTATATCTTGTCTTAATCAGTACAAAATTGGACTAGTTATGGACCAGAAACATTTTCCTTTCAGCTCAGAGTGCAGTATTAGCTATAAGCATATCTGTTCAGAGCGGCTTGATTTTATAAGTTAGTGAATAGTTTTGTACAGCAATTGCTGAGGGCAGGGTTTTGTGGTCAATTGTTTAGAGTTTGATTCTGCAATCTAATACGAGGTTTAGCACTAACATTAATCTGGCCTGCATCTAGTATTACATCTGTTGAGGCACCTAACCTCCTGTAGTACAACCACAACTTTTTACACTTTGTACAAATTAAACAAGATATACAGAAACGAGTAAATTTGTGACTTTTACAGGTGCCTTTAGATGGATTTTGTTACCTTTGGCAGAACCAGGCTAGCTGTTTTCCCTGTCCAGTCTTTGTGCTAAGATAAGCTAAGTCTGACATGAGCGTGCACTCACCCCCATGAGAATATTTGAGACAGTATTTCCCACAATGTTGGACTGTGTACGATATCTCATGCTTTATGCTTTATCTTGAAGCCTTGCCTCAAAGAAGGGCCAGCCTTTGTGCCTGGAAGTTACCACAAGGTTTACACTTTTTGTATGTATTTAACTTCACTGGTAACTGGATTTTGCCAGAACCAGGATAGCAGTTTCCCTGTTTCCCGTCTTCATGCTAAGTTGAGCTAACTTGCTGTTGGGTCCAGCTTTAGAATATATAATAAGAGCAGTGTCAATCTTCTCATTTAACTGTCAGCAAGAAAGGGAATAAGTGTATTTCCCAAAATGTCCAACTACTCCTTTAACTACGTCATTGCTTACTTTAATTGGCTGGGTGCTGGTGGTAGCTTCATATAGAGCATACAGACATGTCATATCTAACTCTCGGCAAGAAATCCAATTAGCTTATTTCCCAAAATGTTGAACTTTAACCTTTAATGAGTCTTTAGTGTATTTTATGTGCAGCTCTTTACTCGCTGCTTGTACTTTGCTTAAACACTTGTGTATTTACAGATGCACCTGTGCACCCGACTAAAGATCTCTGATTGTGTAATGCCAGAAAGGTACTATAGTAGCCTGTAAAAGTCTTGCAGGATCTCTGAAGTTGAATCAATACAGCAGGAACACGTCTGCATCTACAACCAACTCCTGTTCCCTTCATTTTTACGCAGCTAATGGGATCTGTGTCCATCGCTGAGGGGCTTCTTATCAATTCAAGATCTCTGTTATAAGAGATCATGGAAATATGCTCCACAAATATGAAAATGGTCCTTCTACAACCAGAGGTAGATGGCAAAGACTGCTAAGACCGCTGCTCTTCATTTTGATGTAAATGTGAGGCAGCCTTGCAAGTTCAAGGGGGGGAGGGGGACCAGGGAAATGCGATTGAGGGATTTCTTTGTGAGGCCCAATGCAAATCCAAAATGTTCTCAGGGCTGAAAACAAGAACAGCATGGGTGCAGTATAGGGGATGATGGCCCCTTCAATAGTTTCACCTTCTGCCACACAAAAGCACTGAGGGCTTTTGCAGGATATTTCCCTCCTCATGTTGGTCAGAATTAACACTGACAAGAACTACAGCCACCGTGAATCCAGCGCTGATGAAGCCGCTGGTTGTGTAGTTATTAGATGTTCTGGTGAAGTGATGAAGGGAGTCACCCTGCCAGTCAAACAGAACTGTGACGCCCACTTGGAGCTCGGTGGCTGGCATGTGGCTGGAATTAGGACATTTCATTGTGGATTAAAATCTTTTCAATGGCCACTCGCTAAAAGAAAGGAGTCTGAAGTTACAGCGGAGTTCCAGTAAGCACTCCGAACCCATGGTCTCACTTAGCAGGTATGTCAGAACTTATTTCTACTTACTTTTGCAGATGCGAGAGCGGATTAATTATTCACTTATTTTTTATTTTTATCAATAACATTAAGTGTGTTTTGTTGCTTAGATGTGTCTAAAGAAGAGGCTTTTAAAATGAGGGGGGGCTTCAAACAGCTTCAGGGGAGGCTCAGTGAATGGAAGTGAAAAAATACTATTACTTTTTATTCTTATTATTAGTTATCAAAGGAAGATCACATAGCCTACGTGTGTGTGATTTAGTTAAAGAGACAGTTCAGAGATACAGTAGTTTCACTGTTAATCCCACTTTCCCAGAGTCATAAACTTAGAAATGCCTGAAGACAGACCTATTTTTATGTATTTATTGAAGTCTGAACAATGACATTAGGCTGTCTCGTTGACTGTCTTTGGGATCATACAACGTAATCATGATTCCATAGACATCCAGGAGATTCAGCAAATCTAAGCAAGTAAACTAAGGGGTTGTGAGGGGGTGCCCTTTTCCAAGCTTTGTCTGAGGGGAGGCCCACAGTCCCTGGTCTAAAGTTTTGAGACAAGTGCTATCAATTTCTCTCACTCACAGAATATTTCAGAATATTTCAGAATATTTGTCAATTATGTGATACAAAGAACTGAAGGAGTGCATTAACAGTACTTATTTGAACCCTTGTTAAGGCTTAATAACTGGAAAAAAAAATAGCAATAGCACAAGCAGATTTCCTATTTTGTCCAACATCAAAATTATGTAAAAATAAGACAACATGTACTTAATAAGGCATTTTAATAATAGCTTTGTGTGATCACAAAAGTATGTCAAATTGTCACACTTAACTGTTATAGTTTGTTGACTGTTCAAAGATATAAACTAAATAACAAATAACAATAAGATTATTCTTAATGTATGATAACATTTTTAAATGTTTTGAAAAAGTTTTAGTACCAATTTTTTTTAAATAAACAAGTTTATTGAATCTTGATCTTGAGTCTAATCTGTTACGTAACGCTCCATGTGGTGCAATTTAACAGTACAAACAAGTAAACTAACAATCGCTCAAAAGAATACAGCATTGTCTGTGCCAGGAATAAGGGAAATTAGATCCGAATCAGCTTAATTGCCACATTTACACATTCAACAGATATGCTTTGGTGTTTTGGTGCTTAACAATAACAAAAGATAGAAAAAGATAAAGATAGAGCAAGTACTGCAGGTCAAGTAGTCATAAATATAAAATATGAAATTGACAATAAGATATGAAAATAAAATAATAATAAAGGATATGTATAGTACGGCTGTTAAAATTACAGTTAGAGCAGGGATGTGCAAAACAATCAACAATAATCAACATTATATTTACATGTGTGGATGAATTACAGTATCAGTGTACTATACTGTGGGTGGGGGTTAGGGGTTATGAGATGCCACTAATTCACTGTTCACTGACATGTACAAATGGCTGCTGTTGAAGACATGCCACCAGAAAATCATCAGAGACTGCAGGAAGTCCATCATATTGTAACAGTTTTGTGTCCCCTTTGAATACTGCAACTCTGACCTCCGTGGCTGGTTAGGTAGTGGTTAGGCGTTGTTGTACTTGAGGATGGTTGGTAGTGTGAGTGGGAATGACAGACCAGCATGCAGGAGATCTATCAGATAGACAGCCAGTCTTGCACAGGTTTTGACTGCATCTGGTCTTTCGGCTAATCATGGATTAGTTCAGCGGCTCCTGCAAGACAGCTGTTGGGTGAGTCTTGAAATGAGGCGTTGGAACCTTTTTAACAGAGGTTTAAACTCCATGCTTCACTCCACAGCCCTGTCTCTTTTTTGATTCTCCTCTTGAACTGGATTCTGCCTGGTGACCCGGCCTCGTCTACGCCCTTCACCTGGTGTATTTCCTTCACTGGATTCCACTTAACAAAGGCGAACCATCCCACCACTGCCAGAAAATGTTATACTGGTTGGTAGTGTGAGCAGGATGGATAGACCATCGTGCTGGCGTTGATTTTTCAGATAAATAAAATTTATTCAGACCAGCCACAAAACAAAACAATAATTAGGTTTACCATTTACGGTCCTCTGCAGGTAATTAGTGACAAAAATAATAATAATAATAATCTTTATCTTCTTAAACAAGTTACAAAGTGCTTTAACAAGTGTAAAGACAATAATACCCAAAAGACAATAATACAGAAACAATACAAGATAAAAGCAAGAAAACATTGAAAAGACTAAAATACACATTTAAGATAAATATAAAATAGAATAAAATAAAAGGGATAAAATAAAGTAAAAAAAGATCAGGAAAGGCTCTCCTATAAAAGTATATTTTAAGAAGGGACTTAAAAGAGTTCACTGACTCAGCCGACCGGATTTCCTCGGGCAGGCTGTTCCAGAGCCTCGGGGCCCTGACAGCAAACGTTCTGTCCCCTTTAGTTTTCAGTCGAGACTCTGGAACAGACAACAGACCTCTGCCCGAGGATCTCAAGGTACGTGCTGGTGCGTATGGAACTAAAAGGTCAGAAATATCACAAGGTGAGAGGCCATGAAGAGCTTTAAAAGTGATCAATAAAAGTAAATTCTAAAACATACTGGGAGCCAGTGTAATGAAGCTAAAATAGGGGTAATGTGGTCACATTTCTTTGTTCTGGTTAAAAGCCTGGCAGCTGAGTTCTGGACAGTCTGGAGTAAATCAGTAGATTTTTGGGTTAAACAAGTAAAAAGGCTGTTGCAATAATCCAGGCGTGATGAGATGAAGCCCTGTAAAATGGTCTCGGTGTCCTTAAAAGTTAACATAGATCGAATTTTTGATATATTTCTAAGTTGATAAAAACATGATTGAACAAGCTTTGTGGTGTGCTGCTCGAAATGTAAATTACTATCAAACCAGACGCCAAGGTTCTTTGCCACAGGCTTAATGTGATTTACTAGGGAACCAGCAGATGGCAGTATTTGTAAATATCCAACGAACGACTGTAACGACTGTCGTCACAGCAACCAGGAACACTAACGAACCAGCGGTATCGACCCTGGCCAACGACCCCACTGAGGTTAAATAGCTGAGTTTCCCTGCCAGTCAGTCAGAACTGAAGAAGTCCTTTGGATGAGGGACGAAACGTCTTCCAGTATCTTCAACAAAGTCCAGTTGTCCTTGATTTTAACCTTCGTTAGATAACTATGACCTGGATGACTGAGAATCTTCATAGACACCTATTTGTAAATACTGCCATCTGCTGAGACCCGATGACCAGGATTTCTGTTTTGTCTGAGTTCAGCTGGAGGAAATTATTTGACATCCATTTTTTAACTTCACAAAGGCAGTCGGTAAGTGAACTCAGCATCCCAGGGTCTGAGGATCTGACGGGCAAGTACATTTGTGTGCCATCAGCATAAAAATTAAAAGAAATACCATGTTTATGGATAATATGTCCAAGGGGAAGCAGATACAAGGAAAACAAAATGGGTCCTAAGACCGACCCCTGAGGAACACCATATTTAACTGGACAGAACGAAGAGACATAGTTGTTTACAGACACGCAAAACTTCCTATTTGACAGGTAGGATGAAAACCATTCTAGGGCCGTACCAGAGATCCCCACCCAGTGCCTCAGTCTGTCTAACATGATGTTCAATGGTGTCAAAAGCAGCACTAAGGTCCAGGAGTACCAGGACTGAGCACATGCCTTCATCAGCAGACATTAAAAAGTCATTGGTGACTTTAAGCAGGGCAGTCTCAGTGCTGTGGTACTTCCTGAAACCAGATTGAAACTTTTCAAATATTTTGTTATTTTCCAGTATGTTTATGTATCCTATGTGATTGTAAGTTGTGTGTTAGTGTGTAAATGTACCATGTAAAGCGACCTTGAGCTCTGGAAAGGCGCTATATAAATAAAACTTCTTCAGTACAGTGAGCAGCTGTTTGGACACAATTCTTTCTAGAATCTTTGCAATAAAAGGCAGTTTTGAAATTGGTCTAAAATTTTGTTGGAGGGAGGGATCTAAACCAGGTTTCTTTAAAAGTGGGTTCACGCAAGCCGTTTTAAAATAATCAGGGACACAACCAGTAGATAGGGAGCTGTTGAAAACAGAGATCAAATGGGGCCCAACAGAATCCATTACTTTCAGTAAAAACTTAGTAGGTGGGCTGGAGGACACTCTCATTTGTGATACTGTTTTTAAAAGCTCAGACAAGTCGATGGGATAAAACTGGTTAAAACTCTTGTTGCTGGTGAGGGACCTCTGAGTAAGAGGCCGCGGGGGTAATAGAGGCTCTGATTGACACCACCTTATTGGTAAAATAAGATAAAAACAATTCACAGTCATCATTACTTCCAGCTGAGGCACAAGGAGGGGCTGGGTTTACCAGCTGATCCACAGTCTTAAACAGAAACCTGGGAATGTGTAGTAATGAGTTCAGAAAAATAGTGTGTTCTTGCATCCTTAACCATGTTATTGTAGTTAATTAATAAATCCTTCAGACTGAGGTAATGGACTTGGAGACTGGATTTTTTCCATCTGTGCTCTGCTTTCCTGCATTCCCTTTTTAGGCTGCAAATGCTGTCATTTATCCAGGGTTGCTTACTAGCTTTAGACGTAGGCCTAACCTTTCGAGGAGCAGTAATATTTAGTGATGACAAGCAGATATGATTGAAGTGATCGACCAGATTGTTGGTGTTGGAATCAGACAGGTGTTGGCTTTGGCTCTGAAAGAATGTGCAAAACTTTGAAACACTTTGTTCATTAAAGATGCGAGAACACACAGAGCTTGGTGAGGTGGCATGAGTAACAGGCGAATCGCAGCTAAAAACAATACATCTGTGGTCAGATATGGTCATGTCCACTAATTCCACAGGGGAAATGCTGACACCCAGGGTAAAAACCAAGTCCAGTGTATGACCACGGTTATGTGTTTGCCCTATGACATGTTGTTTGAAGTTAAAAGAAGTGGCCATATTTAAAAAGTCAGTTGCATTAACATTGGTGGGGTCATCAACATGAATATTAAAATCGCCACAAAGAACAATTCTGTCATAATTTAGAGTAGAGTAGATAAAAATTCAGGAAGTTCTGATAAAAATCCTCCAGGCGGTTTTGGGGGGCGATAAATTATAACAAACGATAGGTTGTAGCCCTCCAAGTTTAAGAGTGAGAACTTCAAAGGAGTTAAATTCATCACAGCGTACTTGATGACATTTAAAATTTTTCCTATACACGCTCACTAGCCCACCATCACGACCACTGACCCTCGGTTGACTAAAACAATCATATTGAGGCAGACACAGTTCAGCTAGCTGGCTAGAGTTGGTGCAGTTGTCCTAATCCTTAAGAGATTACTAATATTTCTGTGTGGGATGTGCACATTTCGGTTTACTGATCTATGCGTGATGATGACAGGAATCTGCTCCCAGTGTTGTTCTTTGGAACAACACTGGTGTCTACTGAAGCGGCCAGCACTGCGACCAACTGTGGGAATGGGACCAGAGATAAAGACGGGCTTTCCACACTGCTTTAAAAAGTTAAAAAGACGGTTAAAATCTGATTTTGTCAGCTCAGACTGCTGAAGAGCTGTGTTCATTTGTTCCGACATGGACTATCACTCTTGTGATGGAGGACGGGAGCGACGGCATTAGGTCCTGGAGTTTTTTTTATGTCAGCCGTGGTGGCACCGGGGAAGCAGTGAGTGGTAGCGTTAAAGAAACGGATGTTTCTGGTTATGGAGTCACCAATTATTAGTGTGGTTGGGGAGAAGGAGCAGGACTAAGCAGTATCTGCTTCAACACTGCGTGCGGACTGAGGATGGAGTGTGTGAGCTGCCGAGTGTTGTGTTGGAGTAGCAGTAACAGACCTGTGAGAAGGGCTACCCAACGGTGCAGGGTAGAGACGGCCTCCGGAGCGTCTGAGCACAGCCTCCTTCAGCATCCTATATCGGGAAGCGGAGGTTTTTGACTGGGATGACGGCCGCCGATCAGGCCCAGCGGCAGATCGGTGGCCCAGCTGATCACCGTTTGCCACCAGTGCAGGAGATGTAGCCGAGATGCAACAGTGTTGGCCGGCACTGTCCGCCGAAAGAGATCCGTATCAGGGAGACTTGAAGCCGCAGGTGCATCCGCTGGATGGACCGGAGTGTCGTCAGACAAGGCTGCATAGCGGTTGGAGAGGCCGATGTACGGAGGAGAGGCAGCCCCATCCGAGCCTCTCTTGCAGTCACGGACCACCACTTCAGCCCAGGTTGACTGATGCTTCGGAGTCGAGCAGGAGGAAAGCCTCGGAAGGGTAGAGGGGTCCCATAACACGGTGTCCTGGATGTTAGTGGTTGCGCTAAGAGAAACAATCTGTTCCATAAAGCCAGTCAGCAGGGAATCTTTCTCTTTGAATTTCTCTGAAAGTTGTCGGATGTCTTCCATAAGGTCAGCAATCTTTTTGTTCGCTTTCTTAAGGAGTGTACAGTCCTCATGGGGCAGAGTTAACGTTAGTCGCTGGAGCTTTGTTGTGATCAGTAGCGTTAATCGCGTTTTTACGGTCATCTAGCTTAAAATCCATGTCAGACGACTAAAATCCTTAACCCACGTAACATTTAAGTTAAAAACTTAAGTTAAATAAAAAGGATATAATAAATGTAACGTAAAAGTGTGTATTAAAACTTGATAAGAGTCCGGTTTAAGACGGAGCTTCCGACAGGTGGCTACAGACGCCAACGCATGCGCAGAGTACGGATTACGTCAACGATCTTGCGTACCATTCATGAAATGGTTTCTTGTGTCTCAGCGGAGACACCCTTCAGAGTACAAAAAACACTGCCCTTCTCCATTTTCCTGGTGAGTGAAAAACATTGCCCTTCTCCATTTTCCTGGTGAGTGAAAAAACAGATCAACTGGTTTGCTGGCTTCCAAAACATAATGCATAATGACATCAGAAGGTTGATAAACATCAAAACATGTATTTGGAAATGACTAACATTACAGGAGAAAACCCAAAAGGGGATCTTAAAGTTCAGGCAGGTCAGGGACTTAAAGTCCTCCTACAGAAAACCTGCGTGAGCAGAAAGGTTAAACTCAAGCTTTTCTGAAGTGCACCTTCCTCTCATCATACACACAAACAGTAAATCAAGGAAATTACATACTGGGAAGTACATCTCTCTCTCCATTTGGCTCACACATCCCAGGCAATCTTGGCAAATAGTCAGCAATAAGGTTTTTCTTACACGAACAGTGCTCAATGGTGAACTGGTATGGCCGGAGGGCTAGACACCAACGCAGGATTCGGTTCTGATGTGCATTGTATGCGTCCACATAAGGGCTCAGTGGTCAGTCTGCAGCTGGAATTCCCCTCTCATGAGGTCATAGCACTTAATGGCTTTTTCTCCCGGTCTAAACGTTTTCTACTCGGGAACAAAGTGGTCCTGTGTAGGCTTGGTTTTCCTTGTACCAGTGCAGGCCAACACTGGATGTATCCACTTGTACCACAAGCATCTTTGTAAAGTCTGGCCTCAGGAGCACAGGAGTTTGAGAGATGAAAGATTTCAAGGCCTTTAAAGCCTGCTCACACTCCCTTGACCATTGCAGTCTGGACGCACTGGATTTTAAAAAAATCCATATAAAGTAGCACAGTTAGGGATGAACAGTCTAAACCACCCAATTAGTCATTTACTTTTGTTCATTTAGCTGACGCTTTTATCCAAAGCAACTTACAATTGCTAAGTATGTCAGAAGTCGCACGCCACCGGAGCAACTGGGGGTCTCACACCAAAGGCATGTGTCTTATCCACTGCTCCATCATCACCCTGGTCCCAGGAATGACCTCAGTTGCTTCTTGGTTTCAGGTTTCAGGATCATCTCCATGGCCTTTACCTTCTCCACCCGGGGGTTTCTGCCCCCTCTCAATTAAACAATCTGGTTATCTCCTCCTCTGGAGCCCAAGAGCTTTTTCTCCCATTGATGGTCAGGCCAGCATTTTGGATTTTCCCTATTACCGAACCACATGCTGCACATACTAGGAATCGAGAAAGGAGGCTCCATGACAGGCTTCTAGCAGAGAAGACTGGTTAGGGCTGTAGTTGGTTTCAGATTAAATGATCTGTCTGATGATATTTTACATTTTTTTATTGTCAACAAGTGCCATGAAAAGACGAAACTAACAATGTGTTCTTTCCTATTAAAATTAATAATTTAAAAAAGTTCTGCATGTCTATGGCTCTCAGCCCCGAACCCATGACAGTGTGAATCTTTATTTTTTTTAAAGTCACAAATATATAGTTTCATTTTCAAAAAAAGGCTGGATGTTTTACTAAAACAGCTTGCCACTGTAGTTTTTAGTAAATGTCATTCAAACTGGAGTAAACTGCATTTGTTGGGGATTATTTTCAGCTGCGGATTAATACACATTTGGTGCTCAGCTCACACAATGTGTATGTGTGTGTGTGTGTGTGTGTGTGTGTGTTTTCATGGTAATAAAGGAACATGTTATCCATGGCAGCTCAGAGGAATTAGATACTGTATATTAGACTACACAGTAAATGCTTATTAGCCGGATCAATTAATTGTTGGTTTTGGTCGTTTCATGGGACTCTTGGAATGAATGGAGAATATCACAAACATCATTTACTGGAAGCGGAAACACAAATCATCAGATAAACAGACCCAACACAGCAAACAAATGTGTCCCGTTTAGCTGCATGGTCATTAAACTGAATAATCATAACATAATAACATGTTTTTTAAATAGCTAGTTGAGCCTTAGACAGGCTGTTTTTGTTTTGCCTGATGTTTTCTTCCATGGTAAAAGTTTTTTCCTTATTAAAAGCTAAGTCTGGCTTAAGTTTACGGATAGTTGGTGTTGCATGCTGTATGTACTTCGAAGCCCTTTAAGGCAAAATTTGTAATTTGGGGGAAATTTGACTTGACCCGACTGGTATGAGGTGAGTTCCTGCTCTGAAACAGTTGGATGCAGCTTTGGTACTAATCTTGCGATTGCTTTCTCCAGCTCCAGGATGTTCCAGCTGCTCCAGAGTCACATCCAGTCAGCTGGACAGCAAAGCCACAAAACTCGCCTAGTCTCCAAAGACGGGCACTGCAACATTGAGTTCAGCAACATTGAACACAGTAACCACTGTGCGTATCTGGTGGACTTCTGGACCACCTTTGTGGAGATCCGCTGGCGCTTTGTTCTCTTCCTGTTTGTGGCTTCATTCATGGGCAGCTGGTTCATTTTCGGCCTGCTGTGGTACTGGATCGCAAAAAGCAACGGGGATCTGACGGGACAGAACCGCACGGCTGGACATCTCTACTGTGTAGACAATGTTAACAACCTCACAACTGCGTTCCTCTACTCCTTGGAGACCCAGACCACCATTGGGTATGGTGGCAGGTCGCTGACTGGGCACTGTGCTGGCGCTGTGGCTGTGCTTATCATCCAGTCACTGATCGGCATGTTCATCAGTTGTTTCATGTGTGGCGTCATCATGGCCAAGATCTCCTTACCCAAAAAAAGGGCAAAGACGGTCACCTTCAGCGACACAGCTGTCGTCTGCTTGAAGAAAGGAAGTCTGTGTCTCCTGATCAGAGTGGCAAACCTCCGAAAGACCTTATTAATTGGCAGCCAGATCTACGGTAAGCTACTTAGGACAACAACCACGGCAGACGGAGAGATCGTCATTCTGGACCAGGTGGACATTGACTTTACGGTTGACGCTGGCAAGGATAACTTATTTTTTGTTTGCCCTCTGACCCTCTACCACGTGATTAACAGATCAAGCCCATTCTACGAGCTGTCGGCCGACTCTCTCCCCCAGCAGGACTTTGAGTTGGTGGTCTTTTTGGACGGGACTGCCGAGTCCACCAGCTCCTCCTGTCAGGTCCGAACCTCCTACATCCCACAGGAGATTCAGTGGGGATACAGTTTCCTGCCCATCATCTCCCGCACCAAGACGGGAAAGTACTCCGTGGATTTCTCAAACTTTTCCAAAAGCGTCCAGGTCACCACGCCACACTGCGTCCACTGCTTCGAGACAGACGCAGACCACAGAAACCACAACAGCCAAAACCAAGAAAAGCTCAATAACCAGCAGAAGTTGGGGATCGACAACCTGGGATTCCAGGTGATTGCCATTCAGGATGCTTTGGTCACTAAAATGTGAGCGGCTCGGAGAGAAACATGCTCTCCCGACTGAAAATCAAGCACAGCGACTCCGGATGTGGTGTTTTCCACTCCCTTTTAAGCAAAGTTTTACTGTTAGCCAGACTGAAGATGGTGTGAATTTCTTTTTTTTTGTCTTTTTGGGACTTTTTTGACATTGTCTAGGTAATGTGTAGAAGAGGGAGAAGGAGGGATTGAAGTTTTGACGCATGGAAAATGAAAGGGGTAATATAATGGATGGCACAGTGGGTACTTCTTGAGGAGATTAGGGCCTGAGCCTGTTATAATGAAAAAGTACGACAGGCCTCTTGAGTTTTCTCATTTTTCCTTCTAAACCACACACTGTATGTTTTTGTCATGTTGACAGATCATGTTTGCCTTGGTAATTATTAAACAATAAGTTAATAAACTGTGAACATAGCTTCTATACGCAATGATTTTAATTGTGACTAGTTTACAGTTTGTAGATCATAACTGTGTGACACTGAAACTTGTTCTCAGGGAAAGTAACATCTTTAGTTGTAATAAACCTTTTTTTCCCCCACAATTCATCAACTTCATTTTTTTGTTGTTTTTTGGTTTTCTCTACACTGAACATGTGATCAGAACTATGATTATATTAACTATAAACAGTGGTGGAATATGAAAGAACATTTACTTGTACAGTACTTACAAATTTGAGATATGCTTTACATGAATATATTATTTCCATTTTATGCTATTTTATATTGCAACTCCTTTACATTTTAGTCCAGTTGCCCTTGATTTTAACCCACCTTCAAACTGCACATTACATTTACTGATGGCTCATCTGAGAGCAGATGCAGATAAATCTTTTTACTCCATTAAATGTATGGCTAACTTTAGTTACTTGTTATTTTACATATTATTAACACAAAATTATGATATATTGTAGATTAAGCTACCCACAGTATACAAAGTAAAATATATTTGGTGCACCTTTACAAGCTGCAACATGTGATTTACACATTAATGCATCAATAATTATAACCCAAAAATATAATAAACACAAATGGAACATTCTGCATAGTGAGCACTTTAAGTATAGTTAGATGCTAATACTTAATAGGTAAGATCAAAGCAGAACTTGTACTTGTAGCAGAGTATTTTTACACTGCGGTATTTACAAGATGCAGTCAGGACTCATCTGCTTTTGTCTCTTCATCAATAATCTCTGTCTCTCTCCACTATTACATCAAGGCAGTACACAAAAACTGTGACAGCTGACCTGGCCACTAGAGAGCATCAGAGAGCTGCTATGATTTCCATGAAACATATTATTATAAACAATTAATGCTGCAATAAAAACGTGTTTTTCCCCCTGTCCCAGTTCTGCCTCCAGACTCTCTTTTATATGCTCAGTGACAAGATGAGAACAGTGACATGATCAAAACAACACCTGATACCTACTGCTTTATGTTGTGAGTGATGGACCTTGTCATGGCAGCAGTCTGTCTCTAGTGGGGGAGTCAGGTTGTTTCGTTTAAGACTGGCTCCAATGTGAGGCAGATTCCTCTGAAATGGCTTTCATCCCATTTGGATTTACAGAGAGTGAGTTAACTGGGCTTCATCTGCATAACAATGAGAAGAAAAGTGTTGAGAGGGAATCGGCACAGAGAGTCTGAGGCAGCTGAGAAGAAGAAAATAAAAAAGCCAGACGGAGATGAGAAGGCGGAGTGGAAGATACAGAAGTGTATGTTAATCTGATGGAGCCGAGGGCTGGTTCACTGATAACAGTCAAATATATAGAGGATGAGGAAGTATTCACATCTTATATTTAAGTTAAAGTAGAAATACCATGCTGTAGGACTACTCTGTTAGCAGTAAGTACTGGGATCAAAATATAATTAAAGTAGCCAAAGGAAAAAAAGATATTATGCAGGATAATATATTATGTTATTGGATTATAATAAGTGATGTAATAATGTGTTCATCACTTTAATGTTGCAGCTGGTAAAAAAGGTAAAGGTGGAGCTAATTTCAGCTACTACTTCATCTGCTGGGTAGCATGTGAAATTCCCCCCAGGGATCAATAAAATCTTGTATTAACCTATTATAATATATTACAATTTATTAGTTGATTTTATTTTGTATTATTAATCTGAATATGCAAAGTATTGTAAATAAAGTTATCAAATAAAAGTAGTGAAAAGTACAATATTTGCCTCTGATTTGCAATGGAGTAGAAGTATAAAGTAGCAGAAAATGGGAATACTGAAGTGTCCCAAATGTGTAGTACTTGAGTAAATGTACTGTAACAACAACAGTTAGAAATTCAAGTTTCAAATATTTTCTAAGAGAAAGTTTAGTTTTTCACAGATTCTTCATAGAGCTTTTAAAAAACAAATAAAATGTGATACAGCATCATTTCTGCACTGACAGGGGGTTTAATTCAACCAATCAACTGTATATTTGCATTTAAAGTACAAGTATGAATTGGACATACTTGTACTTTACTTATGCTGTGTTACATAAAGTTATGAACAGTGATGTAATACTGGTGAATGTAATCTCTATCTATTTCTTGTAATATGCAAAACTGACTTTAGTCTTGAAATATTATTAGTAGTATATTGGTATTAGACATGTTTTCTCAAAAGTAACTGGCTTTTTCCTCAAAATTTAATAACTTCATTCTTATCATTTTAAGATTTTGTTTATGTAACATTGGCCCAGTTATTTCATCATAGTGAGAAATTCTTTGTGGCAAAATGTTTGCACGCCTTTCTTAACATTTGATTGCTTTTTTGTGATGGTATCTTTTATGAAACTGCATCAGGAACAGAAGAAATTCCACAAAGAAGGATTTCAATTATCAAATCTAGTAAACAGATCAAACTCCTTGAACTAAGCTCAAGACACACAGGACAAAAACCTCAGTATTAGTATCAGAGTGACAAATGTGTTTTATTGACCTCTCCTGGATCCATATGGGAAGCAAATGGAAGTAACTTCCCATGTAAACATGTTGTTTAGAAATACCACACTGTAGGAATACTCTGTTAGAAGTAAAAGTACTGGGATCAAAATATAACCAAAGGGGAAAAAAACATTGTGCAGGATAATATATATTATGTTATAAGTGACGTAATAATGTGTTCATCACTATAATGTTGCAGCTGGTAAAGCTGGAGCTAATTTCAGCTACTACTTCATCTGCTGGGTAGTATGTGAAATTCACATGACATCATTTCACATGTAAACATGTTGTTTAGAAATACCACACTGTGGGAATTCTCTGTAAGAAGTAAAAGTACTGGGATCAAAATACAATTAAAGAAAAAAACATTATGCAGGATAAATAAATAAATAAGACACACAGGACAAAAACCTCAAATCAGAGTGGCAAATGTGTTTTATTGACCTCTCCTGGATCCATATGGGAAGCAAATGGAAGTAACTTCACATGTAAACATGTTGTTTAAGGTCACTTGAATGTTTGTTGGCAGGAAACACACTGTAGCAAGAAGAGATGTTACCGCACTGAAGGTCTTCTTCAGTTACACGTCAACATGATTGTATTAGTAAATTGCTTAAAGCTGAGCATGCATAAGGACTTTCCCAGCAGCCTTTATTTACACACCTAAAATTATTAATTAGAAAATGCATCGACCGCACAACCTTTTTATTATTACAGTTTGGAAATTTCCATCACATCCTTCAAATCAATCATGTTTAACACATCAGAGGCCTCATAGATAAACAATGTTTATGCCCTGCAGTGTGAATATCCCACTTTGCAGATGATTTGGGACCAGACGCTACTGTCAAAATAAACTTCAACCTCTGCCCTAGAGGAAAAGTTTGGGGATTTTCTTTAGGGGATTTCATCTTTTGGGGATTATGAATACCTGCCATCCAGAGTCACGCCGCTGGCTAAAAAACATTTTCTGCTTTCAAACGAGGAAAAGTGATGATTTGCTGCTTTTCTTTATCCAACATCAATTGAATATCTTTAGGTTTTAGACAATAACAAGATCAGACAATAATAAAGACATCAGCTACAGCTCAAAACAACTGTGATGGTGCGTTTTTACCAGATTTCTAACATTTTGTAGAATAACAGATTCATTTAAAAAACCCTCAACAGATTTTGATGATCATAAAATAACTGTTAGTTATAACAGTTAGTTGCAGCCCCATTTTTGTTTATATTGTTTAGCCTGTAGATTCATGAAGGTTCAATTCATCTTTGCTGTTTTTGCTGACAGTTTGGGCAGACATGTTCAATACCTCCGCATTATGAACTGCAGTTTGAGAAAATATGCTCAAGCTCCTGACTTAGAGGTGCAATTATATCTTAGTTTGCATTCTTCTGATCTATATGCACACCTACTACTGCAAAGGCAATTTATATTCTCTAAATCACCTGATTGCTAGAGAATAGGGAGAAAATGCAATTTGCAGTCACACTACTCTGGCCTTCTTACTGTGAGGTAACAGGGCTAACCACTGAGCAACTGTGTTGCCTTTTAATTAACTATTAAATGATTAATTACGTAGTTTAGCTAATAGAGCTACATTTCATCTAGTTTCTGGTGTGTAATTACTGCTGCTCATTTTCCCTACACACACACACACACACACACCTTCAGTTCCCAATTAAACTGAAGTGGCATCTGCCTGTTAAAAATGGCGTTTATGACTCTGCTTATTTATATTTTGTATATCTGTCCTACTCAAACCTGCCAGGTTTGATAGCATATTAATAAAGCTTGCACACTAGGCTAGAGGTTTTTAGTTTCACTGCTCTCAGATGACCCATCAGTAAATGTAATGTGCAGTATTCTATCCAAGGTGGGTTAAAATCAAGGGCAACTGGACTTGAAGATACTCGAAGACGTTTCACCTCTCATCCAAGATACTTCTTCAGTTCTGACAGTCTGGCAGGGAATCCCACCCATTATACCTCTGTGGGTTCGTTACCAAGGTGATGGATGCCGATTGGTTTGTTAGTGCTCCTAGATGTTGTAACAACAGACGTTACGGTCGTTAGAGTCACATGAGGCTAAGTCTGAACGGCGGTCGTTGGCACTGTCACATGAGGCCAAAACTGAGCGTTTGTTCAATCTCCTGGGAAGAACTGAAAGGACAGCATCATAAGTCAGGGATACGAGATGTGTCAGCCCTCCTCCCTTGTTGAGAGGTGGTTGCATCTACTGCAGTATAGATAGCTTCTTTGACTCCTCATTCCATCTGTTCTCCCTCTCCAAAATATGTATATTGCTGTCCTCGAGAGTGTCCTTTTTCGTTCAGATGTTGGTAAACTGCTCTGTTCTGCTCCAACTTCTTGTCTTGGGCACTGGTTGGTAAGTTCTCAACACTATGGTGCATTATTCTGATAATCCCTACCTTATGCTGGAGTGGCTAGTGGAGTCAAAGAAAGTAAACGCTCACATTTGGCCTCAAATGACGACTGTTGTTAAAACAGCCAGGAGCACTAATGAACCAAGAAGTTCACTGACCTTGATAACGACCCCACAGAGGTTAAATGGCTTGGATTTTCTAGAGCCCCTCGCATGAGAGGCGAAACATCTTCAAGTATATTCAAGTCCAGTCCAATTGCCCTTGATTTTAACCCACCTTGCTGCCACTAAACACACGACACAACATAAAAGCCCCCTCAAACATCACTGTAGAAACAATTGCAGCATATGTAAGAAATTAGCAATCAGAGATGGGATTTTTCAAGATTAATCCAGAATTCCCGACCTGAGTGAAGTAGCACACATAAAAAACCCTTTCATGCATGGTGTCTACATTTGTGGACAGTTATAATAACACAATTGTGGGTTACTATATCATGGTTTTGTTCTCCAAGTCATTTGATCACAGTGTCAGGTGATTGACAGCAACATTGTAACAGCGGTTACTCTCTTGTTTTCCAAATGTTTATTGCTTGAGGACCTCATCAATCCAAATAGATGATCCAAATTTTTGATCCAAATTTTAAATCATTTAAAAACCAAACAGAACTTTCAAAAAAATGTAAATGGATGTGTATTTTAGCCAAATTTTGAGTGATAAAAAGAATCTTAAAAATAATCTAATGTTTTGGAAATATATCCAGTCATCATTGAAGATTTGCACATCATTTGATTGATTCGTGTGAACAAGTTAACCAAAACATGGAAAAGAATTGTATTTTGTTTGTATGCAAGAGGATTTCAAGCGCTCCATGTAGCAAAACATGGTCTCAATAATATTTCTTTCTCTCTATGGCCACTCCGGGGCTCCGTAAGTAGTAGAAGTTTGGCAGAAAACCTAAATATCAACATCACAGTGGCGCTTCAGAAAAAGTTCACCATTCATCCTCTAGAAATCATGAATTGGCAATACATCCAACAGTTGCTGATTGAAAGATATTAATGATAATATATTAATGGAGCTTTAAAGGTAAAGATAACCAATATGACGCAGGATTCTAGTAAGTGAAACATCTGTTTCTGCTTTGGTGGTTTCTGTGCTAAATCCCAGATGTAACTGTGGTTTCTTATGGCATGGAGTGAAGAAAATGTTGCACAACGCTTTTTAAACTATTGTTCTTGAAATTACGTCTCCACTGAACCGATTCAGCACACAAACACACAGTTATTGCTCATTGTGTTTCGGTACATCAGATGTTCAGAGAGCGTCTAAGTCGACCAGCTGGTCAGCCACCAGCAGAGGTGTTCATCACATTAACGGTTATGAAGTTTGAACACATGAAGAGAAGCAGAGTATGGCTTAATGTATTTAATATAAATATTTAACCATGATCTGCTTCCTACAGACCGGTTTCAAAATGACAGCCCCAGGTATGTATGCAATTTACTTTTACTTGGTCATAATTTCCCCCCACAGTGACAATTTTTTGAGCCCCAATCGGTCACAAACGATTCTGTATTAAGAATTTTTATTGGTCTTCGCCCACAAGACAGATGAGGTTGCCATGCTGATGGTCACCTCACTGACAGTTAATGGTGGGACTTGTTAATACTCATGGTTTACTCTCCCAGCTGGACCAGTAATATAAACCACAGACTTTTCTAGTCCCACAACTGCTGGCATTAAGATAAGCGCTTTTCTTCTTTTCTCTATCAAACATTTCTGGAAACGCGTCTGTAAATCTAAACTGATACGATAATTTCACTAAAATGTGAATTAATGAACAGGTTTGATTTTTGCAATTGTGATTCAGCAATGTTTCCCAACCTTTTTGGCTTGTGACACCTTAAAATGCAGCAATGTGTACCAGATGTGACCAGTTTAACAAAAGACAGTTTATTCCCTTCAAGTTTTATAAAAAATTTTGTGTGCTGATTGAAGAAGTGAAATTATACAGTAAATTTAACCTGAAATAACAGATTTTTTGGCAGCCGAAACAAGCTGTGAACACAACACTGACATTATAAAGCTGATAGGCCAAAAATGTTTGCACAGTTGCCTGTTTACACACATGGAGCAACATTAGCATTGATTTGGAGATAAGTTTCTGGTCACCACGTCAAATATTCATTTTTATCTGCTAAATGGTCCGTTATGTCCATATGTTTGGTGCTTGACAATGAGCATTTGGTGGGTTCATTAGAGCTTTTGTTGACGCTTGAGCTGTGAGACTGAACCAAAATGAAAAGTTTAAGGAGAGCTCAAAAAGAAGTTTGATTTTGGCCTGTTATCAGCTGATATGAACTGCCGCCTACAAGGCTTTTCATTTAAACAGGTGAAAACGCCATTTAAAAACAGATGCTAAATGTTTTGTCCATTACTCTTTGCTAATAATAAGAGTTTTTTGATTTGTTAGCATCTGAGCTTATAGCGAATACATGTATTTTGACAGCCCAACCTCTGTGTCTGAACTCACTCAAACCCAAATAACTTTCACATTCACACATTTTTAGTCGCATATGTGCAGCAAAATGTAAAGGACAGCAGCTTTACAGGCAACTAGCAGGCTGTGGTGGACAGCACAGTAAACAAAGGATCAGAATTTGATCGGCTTTATTTTAGCCGATGCAGATCCATTACAATATGCGGGACATATGCAGATCCGTAGGAATGGCTCAGGACATCTCTTTTGTTTAGAGCAGCTTTAAGAAAAGACATTCAAAAAAGATTAACTAGAATGTGTTCCTTGCTTCCTTCTGTTTCCCCTCCCTTTCCTCTTTCTTTACTTTACAAGTCTTTTCACTTTAAAAATAGATTAGTTTAAACCAAATTCTTTGCTGTCATTTTTTCTATTTTCTGTTTAGGATTCCAGACGTTTTTCCTTTTCCTCTTACTATGTTTACAGTTATGCACCAAAATTCCTTGTTTGTGAAAGCATACTTGCCAATAAACCTTAACTTTAATTATCTTTTGACCCCTTGTGGGATCCCAACCCCCATACATTTGAGACCACTGTTCTGACTCAGCAGCTGTTTCCTTTAATATACTTATTTTATTCATCTTTGGGATGTTTCTGCTGGTTCCTCTGTCCAGCTCTGTGTACTTGTAACATACATGACTTACTGTAAACTCACAGCTAAAATATATAAATAAGGATTTACCTCCAGTACTTAAATTGATTGATTGATTGATTGTTTATTTAGAAGGGACCATGTGCAATTAATGACATAAATGTAGACATTTGATGCATTACACCAGAGTTAGCTTTAGGCTAATTTACATCTGCAGTCCCCAAATATATCAACCTGTTTTGATTTCAGCATTAGCTTTGATCTCATAGACAGATTGTATTCACAGAAGTTGCTGTGATATATAATGTTGATAAGTACAGCGTACGCTTCACGTTTTTACTCCAAAGCTTCATTGTAGCCTTTTGGTTAAAGAGACTGGAAAATATAAAAGCTGTCTCTCTAGATCATTTAGCACAATTATTTTGGCTCGGAAAGTAGCCGCCACAGCACTTTATGGCCATGTGTTACGCAGCACAAAGCCTCCTCTGCAGATTTTATGATATTACAGCAGACTCCAGTGACAAAAATGTGTTCAAGAGTACTGCACTGATGTTTTCTCACATACTTAAAAATACAAACTGTACACAGAGAGACATTTTCTGTTCCTAGATATCCTGATACAAACAGCATTTTACCAAAGACTCCGGGGGGGGTCTTTGTGTTTTAACATGAATTAATGATAGTGTCTGAATAAAAAGCGTGCCGACATACTCTCTCTCATGCAAATCATTTCGCATGAGGAATTAAACTGTTTTATTCTTATTTTCTTTGTTGTACATCCATAAACAGTTGATTTACGAGGCCCCTGCAATTTAGTTTCAAATTGAAAAGGCGGTTAAACAGAGAATAGCAGCCACTTACTACATGACCAAAGTGAAAACAAAAGCCAGCCAAGGCCAGGGCATGTTAAAGCATGTTATTTAGTGCTTGGCTTGCTCTGTGTATTCAGGTGAGAGATCAGAAGTTAGATCAGAAGTTATAACAAGTCAACATTTCCTTCCTTCCTTCTGCTGTGTGTCTTTATTCTGAGGGGTTTTCACAGACTGGTACACCCAGACACACATAGCCTACTTTACTGAAGCTGCAAAACGCACGAGCTGATCTGACGGAGGGACGCAAATGAGTTGACTTGGATATTATTAGCTCATCTTCACTCACTGCCGCGCTGATCGGCTTTGACATCGGCTCATAATCATCTGGTACGAACGCCTGCAGCCACAGCTCCTTCATCTGAGATGCTGCGATGCACATCATCTGCAATGTTTGAGGGTGTCTGGCTCAGTGAGTGGCCGCACTTGATTTAAATTAAAAGTCTAAAGCATCGTTCATTTATCTGTTTCATGACTCCTCTTATTTTTTTAATCATCCCTTCCCCTTGAAAAAAAATAAGAAAAAGGCTGCTGGGATAAATGCTTGATAGAAAAGAGACACACAATATAATAGAACAGACAAACAAAACCACAGTCGCAGAAACAAGCACTTTACATTTTAAGAATTTCTTCTTTTTTTTTTTTTTAAAACACATAAGCGTCCAATCTTACACGAACCAATCTGGCCTGAATAAAATGAACTTGTTGAGGGTGGACTCGGCCCTGTTACAAAAACTCAAGCAATAACTGTTACAACCTTCATTCGGTCAAATCTCACTGCAACAAAGAAATGTCGGAGGTGATTTGGTGTCATTGTGGTTATGGTTCGACTCTGCACCTGTAGTAAAAATAAAAAATGGGGGGGGGGGGGGGGGATGACATCCATGGATGTGGATTCACCGTCACCCTGGGTCCATCTGTGCTACAGGTTAAGAAGCGGCGCTGTTTTCTCTAAGACCCTGAGTGGACACAGAACTGCATGTTTGTTGGAGCCAGTGCCCAGTTACATCAAATGTCCTTAAGGAGGTGTCTTAACCTCAGCCTTGAAGATTAAGGAATGGTTTGACATTTTGAGGTTTATGCTTTCTCGCTTTCTTGCCAAGAGTTAAATGAGAAGGTCGATTCTACTCTCATGTCTCAAGCCAGTTAGCTTAGCTTAGCATAAAGACTGGAAACAGCTAGCTTGGCTCTGACCAAAAAGTAACAAAGAGCCTTTAAAGTCACTAATTAACATGTTCTCGTTTGTTTGATCTTTAATCGGAAGTGTAAAAATGACGAGTAAATAATGAAAAATATTAGGGCACATGATCTCCTGAAAAAACACATTTTGCAGATGCTGACAAGCTGTATAGCTGCCCCCCCCCCCATTTCCAATCTTTATTCTACTACTATCTTCTGGTTGTTGCTTCACATTCAGCGTAAAGAAAAGTGGTATCGATTTTCTCATCTAACTCTCAGCAACAAAGTATAAGCGTATTTCCCGAAGTGTTGAACTGCTTCCTTTAAGAGAGTTACAAGAAACAGATTTGTGAGGTAAACTTATAAAATATTAAGCGATTCCTCAAATCTTGATTACAAATCAAACGTTGTTCTGTTGTGTTCATAGTGTGAGTATTAACAAGATGAGGTGTCCTTCCTTTATTTAGTAAGAGATTGTAAACAAATCCCAGGTGGAAAGGCTTGAAATCAAATAAAAACAATTAACCCCCCAATAAAAATGTCAGGTAAAGATCAGGCTAAACTACAGGAGAAAAAGGAAAATATTGCAAAGTAACTCTACAAAGTATCATTCAGTCTGGAGAGACAAATGTCCTTGGCACACTTCCATTTCATTCAATGATAAAAACAAGTTTCATTATTAAGGATTTTGTGTACCAGGTGATAGACAAAAGAATCTATTGGGTCTCTAAGCCTTTGTCAACCGAATGATTCTTTCAACAAGATCTGTGAATGTGGAAACGTCGCTAAAAACAAATTCAACAGGGCAAGAAACTCGAGCAGTCAGATGATCACAAACAAGACAATGATAAAGGGAGAGTAATGGAAATCATTTTCCTATTCAACTTCATTTTCACTTTTTGTTTTTTTACAACCTGTCTGGCCGTCTGACTGCTCGTGTTTCTTGCACTGTCTGACTTCTTTTTTAGTCGTGGAATATATTAATTGGTTTTCAGTTTTCCCACCTCAATAAATAGAAACACAAAAGAAAAGCAAAACAGACATAGATACAAAAAACAAAAACAAATCATAAAAAACCCCCAAAGAATAAAAAGAAAAACATGTAAAAGTTCATTAATTCATCATACTGTCATATAAAAGCTGCATTTCTGTACCAGACAGTACAGGATGTGCTGTTTGTTTCCAGGTAATGTGTCATGAGTTTTTGAGAGTATCTGCAGACCTGTTCTTTTGTCATGTCCAGGCGTCTTTAGAGGCTCTTCAGCCACTGACGAGTTATAATCAACCTAATTTCTATAAAGTTGGTGCTCTAGTCAAAAATACAATATTTGGGCTGAGAGGTAGAGCTAAATAAAAATATTGAATAACAATTGTATTTTGTTACACAGATATTTTGCTTTTCTTGATTCTTCCACTTCTCCTTTTTTAGCGATGCAGTTGCATTCACAGATCTCACAGATCTAGTTTGTGGAGTGTTATAAGATAGAAATGATAGCCAAAAAGTCATAAAATAGAGTAAAACAGGACCCCTCTTACTCTTTAAAGAACACTTACTAAGGAAACGACAAGCTGAATTAGAACAACTCTTTCTTTACAGTGTCAATCTCAAAATATGTCAGAATATTTTCTTAAGATGTTTTATGCAACTGGGCACTGGCCTGCAAAAAGGCATTTTCATGTACTTTTTCAAGCTGTGGTAAGCATGCACTTATGAGTTATTAATGAGCAAAATGTTTGTTCAAGAGCAGAACCTTCAAAAAAAAAAAAATACTACAATCCAAAGCTTTTCCCTTTAAATGCTGAAGGATAGATATTGAGAAAAAGGAGAGCGAAATGAGAAGGATCCTCCTAAAACCTCCTTATATTCGACTGTGGGCTTGCAGAGCGCTGGCTTTCTCATAGAGATTAAATTCCCCTCACTCTGCATCTCAGTTCGGGGGGGGGGGGTGTAATAAAAACAGTGGCTGCCTTGAAAGGAGAGGCAGCTCTTCATTTAGCACGGTAAACAAGAAGCTTTGAAGTCGGCCATTTAAAATAGGATTTACATGAATAAATAAATCTGGTGAGCTCAAACACCGTTAATGAAATCGCACAGGAAGGCAAGGCGGCTTTTGGGGAATAATCTGTGATGCCAACACGCACGACGCCGCAAGTAATATTGACAGGTTATTGTCTGGGAATCGTTAATAAATACCACCTGCTCTGCTCTACAGATTGTTTTTGTTTTAAAACTTTGCTCGGTAGTGATCTAATATCAGCATTCATGATCTTGGGAATGTTTCCAAATATGAATGCCTTATTTAATGGATGAAAAACAATGAGAGTTTATATTAAATACCACTTTACTGATGCCATAATTCACTTCGATGACTCTTGGCGTCTCACAAAGCATCTCTCTGTTCTAAGTTGTATGAATGAACAATGAGATCCTTTTTGCATGTTTTTTTTGTTTTTTTAAATCGGCATTGAGGATGTGTGCTTCCCAACCCTCCGCGTAAAATATAAAAAAAATTAGAAATAACAATAAAAACGTTCATGTGCTCACTAGGGATGGAGTTTGATAGCATTTAACTAAATTCAAATGCAGTTTTAAATCCCTTATTGAATCAATAATCGCCTTTTGTTGGCCGAGATGGTAGAAACACTACAGATTTAAATGGCATCCTAATTTGAGCAGCACAATATATGACCTCACTTTTTTAGCACATTTTCCAACAAATGTGTCCATGAGATCCTGTAGAGCATTATATTTACATAAATATAATAATCAAATGCCATTTAAGTTAGGCTCTAATTAAGTTTTAACAGACAACGAGACGTCTTTTCTGTTATCAGCTGCTGCAACGAGAAACTGACACTTTGGAAAGACAAAAACAAAATAAAGGAAAGTAAAAGCCTAAATCCTCTACTCCATGAAATCAGTTTTACTTTCCTAAATCTCCATTATTATTAAATATTCATGTTTCGATCACACTGTGACGCTGATAAAAGGACTGACCATGAGCCGCTAAAAAACCCGAGCACTCTGGCCACACAGGCCTGGTGGTGAGCCGTTACAGTGTAACGTGATTCAGTTTTTTAATAAATAATACATTTCTTCAGATTTAAAAGCAAGACGTCATGGAGTTTGATGATTTAAATCGTAAGTTTAGTAATTCATGCTGGGCTCAGTTAGCACTTTCAAATCCAGACTATGGTAGTCGGATAGAAGATGTTACGGTTACTGCTTCCACTCACAGTGTAAATGTGTTCGGTTCCAGTCTGCCGCCGCAGAAATGGCCGTGGAGCTACACATAAATCAGCAGCCGGATTTATATATGTGTTTTGGCTGTTACTGGTGAAAATGATTGAGGAGAGATAAAAGGTTTGATAAGAGATTCGTGGGTTTAACAAATCCGTCTACCGGAGCCCATCCCTGGTCCTCCCTGTCTGTCCTCTGCCGCCTCACTATCTCTTTTCTGGTTACATTTGTGTGTCATGGATGGAGAACAGAAACGGGCGTCTGCAGTGCTGCCCGTCTCTGGATCAGTCTTTGCTTACATGATTTGTGACAGCCACTGTTTGGTTCCATGTCTTGGAAGACCTCGCAAACAGGCCTTTGATCCCCCTCCCCCATCCTCGAGCTTATCGGTACGGCGGTTCGGGTTGTTGAGGGTTCGGCCTGTAAAGCTGCTGCACCCGCACCGGCCGCCCGTTAGCAGGCCAGCCGCCCGGTAACTGTCCAATGACCCTGAGGCCGACCGGCTGACCGTGTCCTGGAACTGGAAGAGGGGTATTGGGGCTGAGGATGTGGGTCTGTCCCGGTTGGGGTTCAGGTGGTGGGGCACTACTTGGATAGCATGGAGCTGAGGCAGGGGGAGAAACGGGGTAATGAGGGAGAAGGATGGCTGGCGTGAGGCCGTAGCGTACCTGGAACACTCTAAGAGGTCCCTGCGCTACGAAACCGTTAGGCCTCTGAGGCTCGTGAGGCTGCTCTGAGTCCTTCTTCACCTCCGGGACTTTGCTCTCCTCCGCTCTCTTGTTTTTGCCCGGCTGCCGCTTCGCCTGAGCGATCTCCTGCATCTTCTCCGCCTGAGCCCGGCGGATATGATACGTCTTCCTGGAGCTTTGGAAGGAGTCCAGGAACTCATCCAGGCTTACGTTTCCCTCCATGAACTTCTCCAGCAGCTCCTGTGAAGCAGGGCAGACAAATAAACCGGCATCAGCAGACAGGACAACACACAAAGGGAGGTCCAACTTTGGGGAATCTTTCAAACAAAATATAAAAGTATAAAGAGGATTTAATCGGCTCGAGGTTGTTTACCCAGGGACCCAGTATAACATAGTTTGTTGGCTACAATATCTCACTATAAGTACACAGCTAACAATGGTCTATGTTTCATTTGGCAAAGCTTGAAAGCCTTGTGATCTGTCTCTGTATGTGTTCCCAGGACTTGACAAGCCTCAAGCTGAACGTCGAGGACAGACGTTATATTTGTGAAGTAATCACTGTATTAACCACAGTGCCAATTTTGACTTAGTTTTACAGGCCTGGAAAGAGTTTATTCACATTTTGGTCAGTTGATTACATTCTTCAAGTTCACAAAGGCGAGGAGTGGGACGTTTGTAGCCAGTATTGTGCTCCATGTGTTTTTACATGCACTGTCTCCAGTAACCTGATTTCTTAGATGCCATGTAAATGAGCTTTCCATTATCGGTATAAGGGATTAGAGAAACACAGTTAACAGAGCAACACTTCAGCTGGTGGAACCTGATTTCATGGTCATGTAGACACATAAAAAGGTTTCTTACAGGGTTTTTACAAGAAAACATGAGCATGACAAAGACTCTGGACAGGGAAAGTATTACTGTGAAATCCGTGCGGTGGGATGAAAGGGAGAGATCATTACATTCAGCTGTGCGTCATTGTATTTCTGATCTGTCTATTTCAGAGCTTACTATTTGTAAAGCTCAGACACATTTGTACTATGAGGAAACAAAAAACTGCACATTCTGCCTTAAAAATCAGGATTCTCCAGCAGAAATCGTGTTGCGTCTTATTTGATCTTATGTGTCAAAGATCAAGTTACTGTGAAAAAAAGATTGCTAATAAACAGTTAGAAAATGTGTGGAGAAATATGAATATAATAATTGGTCGTTAATATAAATATATTTTGTTGACATACACTGACAAAAATAGCTCATTTAAAATCAGATGAACAACTTTAAGGACTAACTGGTGTGTTATTTAATCATTTGACAAAGTTAGATTTTCATCTTCAATAACTAATTTTGTCAATAAAATGTCAGAATACTGTGAAACTCACCAAAAGGTGACATAATGTAATATTTTGTTTTGTCTGACTGAATAAACCCCGAAGAATATACAGTTACTTTCTGACTAATCGATTGTCTATTCGTTTTGCCTCCAGTTTGGTCTGCCATTTATTCTCCTCCATATAAATCACTATTAAAGAAAATTAGCACAAGCCAACAATGACAAATGCAAAGTGCTATTCATCCCAATGAGCTGCTTCTTGGATGGAGTTTATTAGTATTTTTGCACAATTATACTGCTTTATTTCAACTACAAGCTGAGAGGACAAAGACACCTTTTGGTGCTGTATTACAAAGCCGCACTTTAGTGCAGATTACTTTTTGTACACTCTAGATGAAATTAAATGAGCTTTGCAGGTAACAGCTGTTGTACGTTGGCAGTAAGGCCAAGAAGGCCAATACAGTCACTGCAACCTGATGTTATTTAATGGCGTCCATGCCAGATGGAGAAGCTCTCAGTGGGGGAAGACACTGTGGGAGGAGATGCAATAAACCAGAAACTCCACCAATCAAGTGAGACGGTTGACCAGTGACAAGCGACTTTTAATAAAAGGACATGTGAGAAGTAACACGTATTCCTCTGTGAGGAAGAGCTCCATTGTTGTCTGTAAACCATTAAAAATACATCAATGAGTCACACTGTCACACTCTGTGACATGTTGTATAAATATGCAGTTAAAAATAGTCCCCCAACAAATGCACTATTTGATTGCTACTATTATGCTATTGTTTGATTAATGTTTGCTAAAAACTACAGTGTCCAGGTGTTTTAGTAAACTACTAAGCCTTTATATATTTATAACTATATATCTGTGAGATGATTTGAAAGATTTACAGTACCAAGTGAAGGACTGGCAGGGTGTTGGATATGTTAACAATAAGAAATATATGGAATAACACCAGCTTTTACATTTCAGAGCAGTTTCTCTTGTTTTAGAATTTAGATACGAGTATCAGTATCTTTAAACAAACAAGTTTTAGCACTCATTAAAAGAGCTATGGGTCTACATGCACAGGACAAACAAGGTCACTGTGAGAAATTAGGTTACACAGGATATTTAGATCTGACATAATCAATTAGTCCATCAACAGAACAATCAGCGGCAACAATTTCAATAACGGATTAATCATTTATGAAACCTTTTCATGCAAAAATGCCAAATGTTTGATGGTTCCAGCTTGTGAGAATTATTTGCATGTAATAAACTCAATTTATTTAATATCCTTTTGGCATTTTTCACAATATTCTGTTATTTTACAGACAAAAAGATTAAGAAAATAATCTGCAGATTAATTGATAATGACAATAACGCAACTCTACTGTAGATACATGCAAATCAGATAAACAAATACCACATCAATCGTCCAATTTCTTCTTCTGATACCGTCATTTTGATTAATAAACAAAAATGCCATTAAACCTAATCAGTTTTATCCAACACTAGCATTTTAATTAGTTATAGGTGAGAAATGTTTCAGCTTGTTATTTTTTGTTTACATTCTCCACACAGTTCCTCACTTTTTACTTACAATCTCTTTATTCAGAGTAACTTGATCTTTGACATATAATAGAAACAAAAAAAAATGGTTTTCTTTATCAGATTTACAAGAAGAGTCTCTTAATTATTAAGCCATATTTTCAGCTTTATAAATGTGTGCTCAACAAGGACCACGACAAGGGAAAACATCACTTTGGCAGCAGTGTTGTATGACACTGAGACACTGAAGCTGTAAACAAGTGAAAACCCAAACCAGTCTACTCTGCCCTCAGCTCAGCACAATATCTGTACAAATAAAGTACAACAAGGGTCATTTGAACCGCAGCAACTCTCCTGTGAGTGATTTACACATCAACAACAAGTTTAAGTTTGGTTTACTTCATCAGATATCTGTTTTCATGTTGGTACCTGACAAGGAATCTTCCTAATAAGGAAGCTTGTTTGACTTTGGGCGACAGAAGAAGAAGAAGCAGCTTTTGGCCAGAGTCTTCAAAGACGGGGAATTTTTTGTCTGACACCGAGGCCAAGGAAAAACAGCTTTTCACTGTCACAGTGCTGTGAATACATCCTAATTCTTAAAGATGATGTTTTGGAAGCTGCTGTATTTGTTGTAGAACTATTACAATAAATCAAAGGGAGGGTTTTTCCACTGAAGCCACGAGCGTCTGGGGGCTTAATCTCAAACTACTGAGATCAGGGGAGATAGTCACAGAACAAGACACATTGAAGAGATGTCTTTGTATTGATTCAGGTCTACTGAAACACGTAACCTACATGCAGAGAAGTGTAATTTTAAGGATTTGTTTTATACAACCTAAAAATGTGGAATTGGTCTTCAACATACAATTATTGGAAACTCATTTTTATGAATTATTTATTAAAAAAACAAAACAAAAAAAAACCCCCAGAAGGCATGAACTTACAGACGTGTACCTAATATGTACTGATGTGTCCGTCTCGTAAACAAATGTGCTGTGGTGCTCTCTCAGCATTCGTTCAGCGAGGCTGTTTGGATGGTGCTGGGTGTTGCTTAATCAATCAGTGGCCAGGCGCTCTAATGACTGAGTCATGGCAGTATTGATCGAAGCCATGTGAGGTGGGGGAGGTGTAGTGAGTGAATCAATCCAAGCCTTGAGCAGCAGTGTGGGTTTCATCTGTGAACAAGACTCGATCGCTGTTCTGATTGAGGCCAGAAGAACATGCAGGATTTAAACAGGAGCACTTGTTAGTGCAGCACGTAACAGGTGAAAGTTATTAATTCTAGTAAATGTGCAGCTGAAGCTGAAGGAAAAAGACAAATGATGTAGACGGTCCAAGGATAACAGATACTGTTTTATTCTAACAAGGACCTTCTGTTGACAGTGCAGATCAGGAAAATGCCAAACACTGATACTGTATACATAAGGTAACACTTGATCTTTAAAGGCTTAACTGAACCACAAATTGATTGTTAATATTTTTCCTTACTGAAACATCAGAAATGCTCTTTTAGCCTCCAGGCCTCTGAGTGGGTAGGATGCTGTTTGTTTGACAACTGAGCGGGCAGGGTTACCGAGACGGGACTATATCACACCCAATTTTTGATTCCATTTATGGCTGGAATTTATTCAGTTTTAAATCATTCATCAATCAAATCATAGGCCATTAAATTCATCAAACTCATCAGTTACTTCTTTATAGAGTGGTTGGATCGTCAGTGGTCGAGTCCACCATTCGCGGACTGGGTTCAAATAGAGTGTACTGCGCGAGCACAGAGGATTCACCGGAAACGACGCATGCACATTCGGGAATAAATTAATTTAACAAGAGCAGGCTCATCTGCACACTGCAAGTTAATTAGGCACATATGTCACATGTTGATGCAACCTGGAGGAGCTGGACAGCCGGCATTTCGAAGAAGAAACCTATTTGGGTTTGTACCAGTAAATGTATGGCTACAGTGATTTCTAAAGTAGACATCAAAATTGAATCATGCAGTGTAAAAACCTCAAATTTATTTCTAAAAAGTAGTAAAACTCTGGGACTTGTGTTATTAAGACGTTCTAAGCGTCCCCACCAATAAATACAGGTGTCATCAAATTAGCTAATCTGACAGTAGCAATGCAGTTTTCACAGGTTGTTTGGTAGCTCGTTCAGCAAGCCAAGGTGAAATACAAAACTTTACAGATAAGGAGTCGTCAGGTAGAAAGTTTATGCGTGATTTAATACAACAAGTCAGTATCAGCCTACGACAGAACAGTGACATTAACACTTTATGCAAATTTATTTAAAATCGTCTGTTTGAAATGAATTTTCTCGAGAAAAGAAAACTGGTTAATGATTAGACACCAAAAACTACAAGACCAGAAAATAAAATAGGTTGGGTTTTTGCAATATTTTTCAGTAATATGCATGTTTTTTTTATGTTGAACCATAAAGATGTGCTTTGCAGTTTAATTCCAGTAAAACAATGATCCTGTTAACAAACACAGCCTGTGAAAATTCCACCTATAATCCACCATGAGCTGACTAGGCGAGATCAACAGAGTCAAAACTACAATATCTACTTAGATTATTTGAGGAAGACTGTATTAAGAGATGTTGTTATCTTGGTCCATAAATCTCTAGAGCACACACACACAGAATAAGGCACCACTGACTGAGATTCACTATGGATTTGACAGAATCATGAAAAACAGGTTTTAAACAGGTTTTTTAAAACGGCTGTGTGTGCGGTCTTTGTCGTGTGCACGCATGTCAAGTCAGTACATGAATGTTAAAGTAACAACGTAGTTTTGTGATGGGAGTTATACAATACATATCTACACGCGAGTGTCAGTGAACAGGTAATCATGAGAATATGAACATACAGCTTTTGCACCAAGCGGTCTGCTACACTAAAGTAAAGTGACAATGATGATCTCATCATTCTAACACAACTTGATCTATTAGACAGGTTTGAATGCATTAAGGTCACCGGATAATTCATTTTGAATCTGTCTAGTCATTTTCTGATTCTGCTTAAGACCACATTGTTTTTAATCATTTTGATTGGGAATTATTTCCTGCCAAACGTTAAAAAAAAAAGCACTGTTCACGCTGAGGTTCGGGGATTATACTGAGTAACTAGGACAATGTTCCTCAAAAAGCATGTTGTATTATTTTCTCAAATTTTTCAATACTGTAAGCGCCACAAACAAAACAGAAACTTAGCCTACCTCTTCTCTCTTGTGGTAGAGGCACATCACATCTCTCTACAGACAGTCTCTGCATGCACATATACCACCAGGGGTAAATGGGAGAACGTGCTTTGTGATTTTGTACCCTAATGTAAAGGCCAAACAGCCAAATGAATACCTAATCTGAGATGCTCATGTGAGCATGTGATGTGATTGACAGTATAGTTTATTCTCCCACTCAGATGGAGCAGTGACCCGTAAGGATGGGATGTGGTTTGTTGATCTGCCAAGCACGAGTCACCTACAAAATGTTAATATCCACCTCAAACACAGCCACATTTTCCTTATGTCTCTTTCCCCAGTTTTCTGTACAAAATGGACTCTTCTTTCACTCAGACAAAAACATCTAATCCCCATCTTAAATTTTTTGTGCTACATCAACACTCGCTGAACGAACAAAGACGAATCACTTGGAAAATGAACATTTAAAAACATCCATAAAACTGTAAAATCTGAATGCAGGATTGGCAGAACACGTGTACATTATGTGGAGGGATTTCTGCAGAGGCTGCCATGGTGGAAGTGGGTTTAAGTTGCTCTCAGATGTTGGTGGACTGCTCACTGTATGTATATGTCTCATGTCTTTAGAGATCAGATTGCACAGAAGTGGGTGGGCTGTCAGAGAGACTGCAGGCTTTTCAAGAATCATCCACAACTGTGCTGCCAAAGTGATGAAAGACTCTTTGATTCTCAGTAAGAACAAGAGGATAGAGCTCCATTTAAGAAGCGTTTTGTTCGTTTCTTTTTTACCTCTGAATGCTCCTCAGCACGTGCCACTTCTTCCTGCAGGAGGTTCTGCGTCATCTGCAGGCTGTGCTTCTGGACACGAGCCTCTGCAACGACAAAGAAACATCACTGATGCATGCGGAGAGAGGAAGATGAAGTATGACTTCATTGGATTTGGAAGAAAAAAAAAAATCCAGTAACCAAGAAACCACAGCAGAGAAAATTATTTTCCAAATCACAAAGAGCCTTCAGGGTATGTGCTGACGAGGAGATGGTGGTGATGGGGTGGACAGTTGTTGGCTAGAAAAAAGGGAAAACAGGCACTGTAAATATTCAACATTGAGCTATTTTGGGAAGCTGGTCTTGGGTTTGACCACGACTTTGAAATCCATTTTGGAGTCTCATTTTTGCCATCCACTCATATTACTTACTAAAATACACTATAAAGATTTCATAAGTTCTCCTGTATCCAGCCAATACATCTATAACACTTTGATAAACAAATAATCATGGATAAATGTTTGAATAATTTTTCCAAGCTCTCTTTGACATCACACTTCAGTGATCATGTGCACACGCATACCATGTTTAAATGATTCATGCCTGTGTCTATATGATAAAAAAAAAAGCAAGGAGTAATATGGAGGCAGCAGCTCACAAAACCACATCAAATATAATCCGCCACAGATCATTCAAGCTCATTTCAATGTTATCAGGAACAAGCAAGCAAGCAGTGACATGATGACTGACAGACAATGTGTGTTTTTGTCATTATGATGTATTGAGACACTGATGAACACCGGATGCTCCCAATGGTTCTTGAAGGGGTACCACCAGTTTATTAAACTCTGGTCTTATTTTTATCATTTGCATTAGTTATTAAAAAAATAATAAGCTATATTTGTGCATTTCATGGTTTTGAGCTTTCCTCCCAAGTCTTTTAAAAAAATATATTTCTGGCTTGTTACAACTTGGGCCTTATTAGCGTAGTTGCTATAATTCCTATCTAATTATAACACTGTTCGCACAAAGGCAATTTCTGAGCTTTAACAGTGAGTCCAATGGGGCAAGAAACACAAGCAGTCAGATCATCACAGAGCAGTTTAGCCACTTTTCTATACAACATTATTTGAAGTTAAAAATGAGCACACCTGAGATGTCAGTAAAAAGGTAGTTCAGTAGGATGTAGGTGCATAGGTAAAGTACAGTAGCGAGTTGAACTAGAGAGTCAGTCTGTAACCTGGGATGGATGCTTGCAACCAACAATTTGGGTAAAAAAAAAATACTTCAAGGAAATCCTCAGAGCTTTGAAATACATTAACAAATGTTACTGATTTAAGGATTTTATTTAAGGACGTGACTTAAGTTTAATTAGAACCTTTTACTGATAAACTGAAATAAGATCTGAGAACGGGGAGCCCTGGTGGCTTAGGGGTTAAGGTGCCTGCCATGAACCACAATATTTGTTGTTGTTCTCTATCTACCCTCCTTTCCAGTCATGTGACTGCTAATAAAGCACAGGTTTTCAAACATGATGCAAAGATGCCGTTTGAGGTGAAAGGGACAGGTGCATGCTGGTGTTCTTAAAACAACAGGAGGTTAGTTATTATAGTTTGGCTGCGCAATATATCGTTTCAGCATCATCTGTGCACTGCACCTATGCCCAATAGTCACATCGCAGGATGTGCAATGTCAAGCAAGCCAAATTAACTCAAACACCACAACTTTTTTTCTGAAAACTTCTCATTTTCCATGACTAATCCATGAGAAGTTTGACTGATGAATCACAATTTACTCCGATTTAAGAGTGAACTGGGATACACAGAGTTTGTTAGTAGTGACTGATAAGCAAGCTCTGCATGCACAGAAAACCACCAATCACAATATTGTTCTTAGTTTTTTTAAAACAACCAAAGCTCCACCCATCTGTTGTCGACGACAACTTGAAAATAAGTGAGGAATAGTAGAAAACTACCCAAACATGGATTTGGTTGCAAAAAGAAAAAGTAACTTTTGTAAACAACTCAGAAGGCTGGTGTATAGCTGCTCTTTTATTTTTATTATTTTGTTCAAATTACTGCATTAAAGTATAAGAAAGAATGGTTTGCACTCAAAAGAGGTCTTCAGACTAAAAATAAAATTTTTATTTTCTATTTTTATTTACTTTGATAATGATGGGATGCTTAATTCTTTATAAATAGAGCAATATAATTAATTAATCAGGGGGAAATTCCTATATTTTTTTCATGTGGCAATGTATATCACAGAAGAGAAAAATATTGATCCCAGAAATCATAGGAAAAGAGATACTCTTTATAACTCCACATCTTGCCTGAGAATCATCATGTTCTTAAGTTTTCGTATCAAAATAATCCAGTGATAGTTACTGCAGAGGCTGCGAATCGCTATTTTGGCTTACTTTTAATAGTCACAATCTGCCCAAATGTAAACAAATACAGTCTAAAATACGGGGCTTAAGTTGTAGCCAGCTTGAGACTGGGCAAAAACCAAATTACACTTCGCCAATGCCATGTCTACGTGACGAACAGATACAGCATACAGAAATGGGCACAGCCTGTCTGATAAATGTGATAACAAGCAAAGTACCCTCACACATACACAGCATGTGTTCTCCTCCTGGGCATCATCATCATGAATAGGATTGACCCATCTGACCGCAAAGTGTCTTCTCCCTCCGAGAGACGCTGTGTTACACTACCCCCCCCCCCACAAGTCAGACTGAGTTCAGTGGAGACAGAGGGGCAAATAAAAGTCACAGTAATGGCAAATAAATCTGAGCCTCTGAGGGAAATATCTAGCCCCCTCTAGACAGATATAAAGAGAAAATGTACAGTGTGCACATTTCCAGTCAAGATATTCTCTTTAAAGGTTTCCTGCTTCTCAATGAAGTAGTCTGGCAGTCAATTTATACACTCAGATCTTTACAGGTGATAAATTCCCTTTAAAAAGAGGAAGGTTTTTGAGCAGAAAAACATTATGGCTTCTGCACAGTGCGTTCTGCTTTCTATAACGCTGTTGCCTCAGCATTAATAATATAATCGCTCCACGTTACACTTGAGGAACTTTAACACTTTAAGGAATGGCCTTTATCATGACCCCCACACTGCACATGTTGGGTGATGGGGTTGTGTAATGAGAGGTGGCAGCTAGGCAAACAAATGCTCCTACAGCAGCTGTACGTGACCTACATTGAGGAGATGGAGTGGACCAGTAGGCCAGCGCAACGTGGGGCTGCACTTACACGTGAATAGTGTTGGTGATGGAGTAACACTCTTTGTCTGGGAGCAGGCATGAGATGATGAGGAGTCGAGGCACTGCTGCTGCCACAGACAGTAAAATACAGCTCGAGCACTGTGAGGGCTACAGATTAAGTTTCTCTGTATGTAAAAAGGCGCTTATTGACAAAGCAACTGGCTGTGGGTAAATGCTACATACCAGACACTTAAGCAAATGTGATTAGAGCTGATCAACTGAAAAATTCATTATCTGACAACAGCTGGCCATTTGAGGGTCACAAAATTCTGTGCATTGATGATATAGCGCTATAAATGGTAAATGACTTTGGCTGACAAGATGCATCTATGTTTGCTTTCTTTTTTAGGCACTTCTGTAGTATAAAAGCACCAAGCTGAATATATTGGAGCTTTCAGAAAAATGTTCTCACACGTAATTTTGATGTTGATGTTAATGTGTGCACGACTTGGAAACTGCTAGTAATTCCTATTTGTATGAGCCGTATTCCCATAAGTCTCCCAAATTAGAGACGTGTATCAATTGATAAATTTAAGAGCGTCATAAAGAATGTGGTAAAAGAGGCATGTGGTTGTTTTTCTTGCCAACAATGTGTTTGAATAGTTGTACTTTGTTAGTTGTTTTTGTTGCATTTTAATATATTGTGTTTATGTATGGCTGCTACCTTGGTCAGGTCTCTCTTGTAAAAGAGATCTTTGATCTCAATGGGACTTCTTGGTAAAATAAAGGTAAGAAAAACACAGAAAAAAAGCAAACAGGTTAGCAGGTCAAAGTTGAACCAGAGAGCCATCTATAAACTTTGATGGATGTTTGCAACACACCTTTTGGTCATTAATTTTAACATCCCTGTTAGTTTTGCTTTATTTTCCAAGGTCTCTGCAATTAACTTGCAAGTACAGTGTTATTAAAGACATCTACTGTTGTTGATTATCAACTATTTTGATAATTGATTAATCATTTTAAGTCAAAAGATAATAATAATTTGCTGTTTTTCTGTTTAATATTATCCTAAGTCTTAATTTTTGGGTTTTGGGCAAAAAAATGCAATATAGTGACGTCTCCATGGACATTTTCCAAAATATTCATTGATTAAATCGACAAAATAGTTGTTAGTTGCAGCGTGAAGTTAAGATATTACATAGTGCCCCATTTTATTGTCCAACAAGGCTAAAAGTGTTGAATCTTGAAGCCTCAGTAGTTGTTAGGTAATTCAATGCCACAAAAGAAAACTTTTGGATGGAACAAACTTCAGAAATATGTTTTCCCCACTGGGGACTGACATTCGTAGCAATCTTCATGCAAAAATGAGATTGCCAAGGACCAGAGTGCTCGTCAGGGAAAATGTCAGACTTGATGGAGGCACTAGATATTTCAGGGGGGTTATTAAAACTATTCTGAATTTTCCAATGGGAACAGACGGATGAACAGAGGGATGAAGCAGACAGATGGACAAACTGACATCACCTCCCTTTAGCCCTGCTGTTAAAAGGGGATAAATGGGGTTCTTAAGTTATAGAAAAAACATATTCTCCCACTTACTCCAAGTGGTATTAATCCAGGCAGATACTTTTGGTTTTATTTGTGCAGGTTTTGAGGCCTCTGAGGTTTCTGCCTGTAGACAGTTGCATTAGAAGTACCTTCTACTAAAGAAATAAAGTCCTTATGAAATCTGCTGCCTGTTCTCACGATTATCTTGATAATGTGACATTATTAAAAGGAAACTATTTCATATTGTAATTCCATACTTGTTAGTGCCAAAATGATTGGTGTTGATGGGAATAGTAATGGGCATATTCAAATATTTTGTTTTTAAAAACATAGACATGTGGATAAT